GGGGGGGGGCAGTTTTTAAGCCCGGTCGGCGAGGACGGAGGAGCTTAAATTGTTTAATGTGATCCGGGGATTACGGGCGTTATGATCGGTGCGCCAAGGCGCGGAGGTAACGGCAAAAGCAAAGGCAGAAGTAGAGAAGAGCGGCTCAGCTCAGAGCCAACTAAATAGACGCCAAACGCTAAACGTCGTACCGACGCAGCCTTTGTTGCCGTTGTTTCTTCGGGTTTAATTATACAGAAACACCGGGAAAAAAAGATGCTGCGGTAACATCCCGGATGTTAAGGTTGTTAAAAAAATGCGCGACAACTCATGGATGTTGCTATTAACACTATGGCAGCTACACGGAAAAAAATTAAATGTTGATTTAGCATTCATACTGTTAAAAAGATGTCCGACAAGTTTCAAATGCTGATTTTACAATACAAAAATGCTAACATAACATTTTAATTTTTACGTTTTGCAGTGGGCGTAGTTGCGTTAGCATTTGTTAAAATATAAAATCAGCATTTGAAACTTGTCGGACATCTTTTTAACAGTATAAATGCTAAATCAACATTTAATTTTTTCCATGTAACGTAGCATGATAGGATATAAAAGCAACATCCTAGGATGTTACTTTAACAGCCGGAGTGGTAATGACAACATCCAAGAGTTGTCGCACATTTTTTTAACATCCAGGATGTTACTACAGCACCTCTTTTTTTCCGGTGAACAAGGAGGAATGAACGGCTTGGAAGACGAGGTGCTTAAGTGCAGTTTTTGAAAAAATGGAGATATTCATGAACTCAACTGAAATTAGTTCGAAGGAATATTCTGTAAAAAATTCGCATATTAAATCCAACTTTAAAGCATCAACAAAAATTGTAAACTAAACCAAAAGAACACTAGCCAAGGTGTATGAAATACCTTATATAATTAAACTACGAATCTATGCGTAAAATTAAAACTAATCATCTGAATACATATAATGAAAATCAAAAATAATAACCAAATGAGACTTGAGTAAAATTATTTAGGTATAGATTCTCATGATTTTTCGAAAGTTTTAAAAGTTTAAACTTCCTTCCACCGTAAGGCTCCATGTAATATTGAAACTTTAAATCGTATTTTTAAAAATAGCAAAAACTGCACTCATGCACCTTGTCCTCCAAGCCCCTCAAATGTGAAATCAAATGAAATGAGCTCCGTTTGCATGGACTGGCTCTTTAAATTAAGAAGCTTGAAGGACAAGGCGCATTAGTGCAGTTTTGGAAAAAATTGAGTTATTAGTGATTTCAACTGAAACTGGTCTTAAAATATATTCTGTAAAAAGTCCACAAATTAAATCAAATTTTAGAGTATCAAAACGTGGGTTGAAAGTTCTTTTCCATCATAAGGTTTCAAGTAATTTTGAAACTTTAAACACGTATTTTTTAAAATAGTAAAAACTGCACTTATGCGCCTTTTCCTCCAAGGCCATCAATTCAAGACGGCGAAAGTGTAGGGTGAGTCATTTTCCGCTCACAACTTACATTGAAATCAGGCAAAAGAGGCCTAAAAGTAGAAAATCAAACTCAGTTCAGCGACAACACCGATTTGAATTTACACAAATCGATTTTCAGTTTTGAATTCTAGACGCTCACTAATATCCATAGGACATCTTGAGACTTTTAAAATAATTGTTAATTACATTCTGCTTTTGAAGTGACATGTTCCTAAATTTGGTAACTGCAGTTCTGGCAAATTTTTTAGCTGATTTTCTTAAAGCCACCGTCCCATCGCCCAATGGCAAGATAATGAGATTAGTGCCACATTATTACAGGCCTTGCTCAACCATTCATTTCTCCGCATTAACAGAGAAGTCATCGGTTGTAGGAGCGCCTTCAATTAGAAATGATACTAAAAAACTCTCCCGAGTTGAAATAGTTGCCCGTGTGCGCCGTGAAGCCACACCACGAGTAAATCGCGTGAGCGTATGGTGTGTGCGATGCACATTTTATAACTCATCATCTTCCGGTCAAAGTATCACGGCGTGATGCAACGTTTACAAATTTCCTAATTATTACAGCGAAATTAGTGATTGGATATGTTTGAAAAGTTTAATTAAATTTTATCGGCGGCACAGAGAAAAGGCATTGAAATTTTTGGACAGCTTCGTTGAAAATTTCTCTGTATAAAAATAAAATAGCGCCGGAAATTTTTAAAAATCATTGTGATACGTTGGCCGGAAGATGACAAACTACTCGAATGTTACACAATTAGGGCTGTTTTCATTGTCGTTCCTCAATTTATCGAAAAATGCTGTGATTAGATTTCTTGTGCTTACGTCGGCCAATTTCAAAATCTTCGAACTTCTTATGAGTATTGGAGTAGATTTTGATAACTTTAGCGACATCTTCATGCTTTTGTGAATATTTTACAAAAATTACTAGATGAACCAAAAACCTAATTTCATTGAGAGAGCTTTATTTCTCGCTGTTGTTCTCAAAGCAGAAACGAGAAACATCATAATTCAGAGACCATAGAATTTCAAAATCTAACAGTTTGCATAAAATGATTGCCCTATTAGGTCTTGTTTGCTGAGAAGACTACTCAACTTTTGGGTTATCGTTGAGCGAATGTGAGCGATGACCTCTGAAGATAACTTTTTTATGAGAGAGGTATAAGCGCAGAGTTTCTAAAATTTAATTTCTCTGGGCACAAACAAGATCACACCTACAACAAAGGTCACAACCTTATATGGGGACTCCACTGGGTATTTTTCAGGCCACATTACAATGACTATCTCGCTAATGCGTTCAGTTATAAGCTCTGTTTAGTGTTACTTTACGGGAGTAGTACTTCAACACCGAAGAAAACCCCTTCTCGATGTAGAGATCTCAAACATAAAGTTTCTTATCGACAGACTTTACTAACACCTGATTCCTTAACTTTCAGAAACTTCAAGCTAATACCCCCACATAAGTGTACATCCTGACCCATCTTAGTTCGGTAAGAGATGAGCAACGAAGTGCTTAGTCGCTCTGAAAGTTCCGATCAACTCACATCTACAGTATTGCCATTATTGCAGAAATTCTATCATAAAAATAACGCAGATTTATCAGACTTTACCCGTTAAATTGCAACGCTGCGCTTAATTGAAAAGTTCGAGTGGCCTCAATCTAACCTTCAATTCCACCTCGCTAATTTAAAACCTCTTATCTACACTGAAAATAGTACGCAGATACGCGTTTTTTTAATAAGCGCGGCGGCATAGCACTCGATCCTCTTGAGCTCTTAATTTTTACGAGAAACTTTTGAGACTCTTTTAATAAAGATGTCCGATAACTTTATTCCTGGATTCTGTGGAGTTTTGTTTCAGCGAGGAACAAAGTGATCGGAGAGAATGCTCCCGCGGACCTCTCTAGTTTTATCATCGTCTTTCTTCTCGTAGTTTAAATTCCAGTAAGGATCCTCAACTTCCATTATTATTAATTAATTAATTAAATTCAACTCCTTAATCAAAAGATAGGTTTCCATCGGTGCCTGTTTAACTGTTTCTCCTCATCGAAAAAAATCTGGGTCTCGCGATGTTGTCAGTTACGCGCGTGATAGAATCGTACATAGATGGTTTCTTCTCTTAGATCTTAGCTCCTTTGATTTAGGGGCATTACTACGCTTTATGAAGAATTCTTCATCTGCATAACTCCAAGCGTTTCAGGGGTCGCATGAAAATGGAGTTAGCGAGATTTGCGAATCGACTGTGAAATTGCGGGAACAGTTTGTGACGCTGCATACCTCCCATCGTGATTTACATTTCAAGAAGAAAAATTCTCGAAAAATTCCACGTCATGAAAATTTTCTGAGGGAGCCACCGAAACCCCCTACCTACCCCCGTTCAAAGAATTTGAACCCATCTAAAGACTCAACATCATCCTAACACGTTTTACCGTCCTAATAGTCAAGGAATGGAGATGTTGCGTGCACTGAGAAAAAACTATGGTTTATAAACCTATTAGAGGTAAATATGGAACACCTATAATAGTCGTATATAAACTAATGATTCTCGGTCTGTGAACCATACTAAGGTCTCTGTACCTAATTAAGGT